GGATGGATGGATGGATGGATGGAAGGATGGATAGATAGATTGGTGGAGGGATGGATGGAGGGATGGATGGGTGGAGGGATGGATGGGTGGAGGGATGGATGGATGGATGGATGGGGACCAGACTGAGTTAACAGCTATAATTATGGGTTCTCATGGTAAAATTCATTTTTTATTCATATTTTTCTCAGGATGACATGGGATGGTTTAGGGACAGTTCTCCATTTGCTCAGGACTTCGAAAACCCTCGACAAGTCTAAAGACCTACCAAACTGGCCCAAACCCGATAAGCATTATGTTATAAACGTAAAACCTTGCAGTCATCAAGATCAGCATTCCTGCACAAAGAAACTTTCCTATAATTCTCTCGAAAATGAAGGAAATGCAAGAAATAGTAAAAACATCAAATATTTTTAACACTGAAAAAGTCCGTGGTCACGGATCAATGAAACGTCTATAAAAATGTTTCAAAAATTTTAAGTCAGAGACAATTATTTCAAGTAATATTATGAACCCTGACTACAACTATAGTAGTTTTAACATTTTCATTGCATAAAAATTTCAATTATTTTTCATTTATCATTCCATTTCATCAAATATCCATTTTTCATGGTTATGCATGACTTTAAGTATTAAACAAATAAATTAACTCAATTCAAAACGAATTAGTTTATTAACTTCCCTTGATTTTAAGTGCAAGTTTCGTCGCATAAAGAAACAAATTTCTTATATGGTTGCTACAAAATCAATGTTTGAAATTTAATCATTTCACTTCTAATTTTTTGATTACAAATGAATCGTTTTTCTAAAAGTTTAAATATTAAATGTTCGATGTCACTTAACAAAGTTCTGATAATCACATGATAATCAGTATTTAATCTGTCAAAACTGTTTCATATCTACTGTTTCGATGGCTACAGGAGGTTTCTGTGGACATTATACAATCTACTTATACTTGGTTTCTATGGTTACAAGAGTTTTCTTTGGTTACGAGAGGTTTCTATAGTTACAAGAAGTTCTATGGTTACAAGAGGTTTCTATGGTTAGAAAAGGTTTCTGTGAACCTTATTCGGTATTTTTTCTCTGCTCTGCAAATCTTTCCAATATGGCGAGCTCTCCATGTACCAACCCAGATCAGGCTGTTTTGGGCGAAAAAAGGCAATCATTAACTAATTTGACTATGAAGAAACTTTAAGTTTTGGCACATCAAATCAGCATTACCTTTTCAGGTTTTTCCATTGTTTCCCTCTTTTCACTATTCTCTGCAGCATCCATCTGAGCGATGTAGTACGGTTCACCGTTGACCATTGACTTGCCGCACCCAAGAACATGAGCGTCTTTTGATATCAACTGCACAGCGAAAATTCAATGTAAAAATCAATGTTAAGTAAAACTAGTAATTATACACCAAATCGTCCTCGTTAACAAATATGTGGCCCTCCACAAGTTGGTTTTTGAGGGGGCAGAAAACTGGAGAACACGGGAATAAATCCCTCTAAAGCACGGGAAAGACCAAACAAGAAACTCTTCATATATGCGGATAGGTAAGGTCCAGGAATCCAACCCGAGACCCAAGTGGTGAGAAATGGCGCATAAGCAGAGCACATCATCTGTGCTGCACATTTAATTTGCCCTCCCAAAAATGTTTACCTCGCAGTCTATACCGGCTTTTTGTCCCATAAACTTGAGGTGCGTGTGACGTCATAGCCGACATTTTGGCTGACTTAAACAAAGATTTGGTTGTTTTGGTCACGTACGCCAGCATGGCAGCAATATCTTTTTATTCTCATGGGAAGCGACGGACGCCACCAATATCATATCCCTGTTAGTTATTTTGTGTCTAACCTGTTTGAAATGCTTGATTTCTTTTCCCTTTTTCAGTTCTCCTTTTTCCCAATCAAAATCCTTCTCCTCATCATGCCAAGCCTTTACCGCAGCTGTAAACGTCTTGTAGAAACTCCCAACAGCGATCAGCTCTCCTCCCATGCCTCGTTGAGACCACGGTGAATGACCGTACGTCTTGCTGTCTGCCCATTGCTGCGCGTGCGCAGCAAGGTCTTGGTCGAGAACGAGGGGTCTAGCGTTGTGGTTACGTCGGTAGCTATTTATAGCATCAAGGCACTCCCTTTGACATGATTGGTCGCATCCTTAAAAGGCAAGTACAAAAGTAATATCATTGTTCCAATTCTTTGTTTGCACCTTACGTCATCGTGGCCATGTTGATGATGGGTTACAAAAGTTTCTCTTTAGTTACTTTTGTTAATACCACCAACATGGCCGCCATGTCTATTATCTTTTGACTCTCTTGGCAATGACTGCAATCCATCAATCCGTCATTTGCACATTACGTCATTGTCGCCATGATGGTGGTATTTAACAAAAACATTTTCATAATTAGCTTTCTTTGTTAGTGCCACCAACATGGCCGCCATGTCTTTGTCATTTGATTCTGTTGGGAATGATTGCAAACTGTCGAATGATGTTGTCGATTTCTTACCGTTACCGTGTCTTGTGTGGAAACTACGGTCTTAAGAAATCAAGCTGTTCATTTAACTAAGTTTTGTAAAGTAAGACCCAGAGCTTCTTCACTAGCAAAATTTATTTCAACAAATTCTTACCTTCTGTGGACACAAAATCTAGGGTCCCTAAAACAGAAAAACGTAATTTGCAAGTTTTAGCATAAAGAAAGTATGCCGGTCTGGCACAAATATTTTTCAAACAACGAAAGCCTCTGTACCTTTTTTATCTGGTGTTCTCGTCAAGATTATCGATTTACCATCAGCAAGATCACCATCATCTTGTTCAGAAGGCATAACAGGATCATACCTGTTAATCAACATCTGAACCTTTTCATCTTCAGTATCCTTTACTTCCATATCTTTAAGATCATTCTTTGAATATTCTGCTTTGGTTTCCGCTTCATCTGAAAACTTTCCCATAGCACTTGATCCTTGCTCAGATTCCGCATTCTGTTCCAATCCAGGATCGAAATTTTCTTCGGTTCCTACGTAGTTGTTGGTCGATTCCACTGGGTTTTTATTTGAGAAACGAATTTGCGGTGTCTCGTCGTATAAATTTACTTCCGAAGCGGCAGTTTCGTCTGAGTTGCCTGCTTTGATGTAATAATCAGTGTTAGATGTTTTGTACTCTGGACTCTCGCTAATGACTCTCTCCTCAAGTGACATTCCATGCAACCTGGAATTTGGAGCCTCAACGATATTTCCTTCGTCACGGTTTTTTGAATTCAACGACTGTTTTGGATCATCATTGACAGGCAACGTTTGTGCATGGGCGACGTTTTGAGGTTTCTCAGAAGATCCCGACTGCGCATGCGCAGTTGATGATTCGGAACCTTTGTTGTTGGGCGAGGGTTTGTTCTGAGCGTAAGCCGTGCTTGGTTGACCTGATTGGGAGCTGGACTGCGCATGCGCGTATGTCTGCTGCTCTGGTGAGGCTGAGGCGGATGCCACTGCGTATCCGGTTTGCTGACCCCCGGAGGACTGGGTCTGTACATACGTACTTCCTCCTGACGCATACGCTGTACTCTGTGGTTCAGAGGGTTTCCCTACTTGAGCATGCGCATAATTTGGCTGTTGTTGTCCAGCAGAGTTTCCCGCCGCTTGTGCATTGGCAGCACCGTTTCCTTGACCAGTTTGAGCGTGTGCATAACTTTGAGGTTGACCAGAGGTATTTCCTGTTTGCGCATGGGCAGTCTTGCCTGGCTGGTCATTCATATGCTTGGTTTCATCTGCGGCTTTGTTCTTCTTTTTTGAAATCTTTTTTCGCTCTTCAAATATAAATGTTTTAAATGGAATCAATTATATGAAGGAAGAAGAAATTAGATACATGAAAAAATAAGCGTGAATATTCTACGAAAACAACGAATACTCTTTTAATCCAACGAAGGACTAACGTCCAAAGCGTCAGTGTAGTTACGAACTTTTTTACACGGAGTTTAAGTTTTCTTCTTATTTAATTGTCATATTGAATGCTAGTCATTCTCGGTTTATTCAATAGCTTTAAGCTAATAACAGTTGTTGATGCCTTTAATATATTAGATATCTGTACTCACTGCAAAAGTTACAGGTACTCCTGCAGAATATCCTCATTTCTTTCTCCTTCTTTTGGCAGTACCCCTGGGCCTTCCATGTTGGACAGCTGAATTCATAGTTGGTCGAGTCTTGACAAGCTTTAGAACATAATAGAAGTAATGCTAATACGATTCCACTACGTTCCCATCCCCCATAATTTCTGACAAATAAGACAACAATGTCTTGGTCCATGCGCATTTAAGAATAGACCTAATCCATTTTCCTCCCACATTTTAGAGCACGTATTATTCCCTAGAGTATTATTTCTTTGTTTAACGGTATACATATGGATACAACTCAAACAAATATTCTTATTTTCAAGAGAATAACACGTGGTCTGAAATGTGCAAACATTACACCCAAGTGGAATTGGTCCATTACGTCCCAACGCAATTCATAGCGACGTTGAGTGCCTGGTACGGATAAACGCTGTAGGTACTTTGAGACCGTTCAACCAAACTTTACGCAATCCAACCCACCAAATTTAACTACACTCGTTGGATATTTAGAAATAAATAGACTTACCATGCTCTTCGTAGGCAAATCTGATCCCTGCGTTTGCTCTCTCAGACTGAACCACGATGCTCGGTAAAGCTGAGGATCACAAAAAAAAAACATTTTCTAGTACGAAAAATTGCTATTGTTTAATACTATAGTTTAATTCCTTTCGATGTTTGAGGGACTATAGTCAAACAGTTTTCCAAACTAGGAACAAGAAAAAGCAGCACTGTTGTATTTTTCAACCCATTTTGTGATTTTTGTTTGTAATTTAAGAGATATTCTCTTACCGCAATATCCACAAGTTGACTTGCAATGGCGCTTCATAAATCCAGCATAGAGTACGCTCTGGCAATGACCTCTTTTCTGCCAAAGTGAACATCTTTCTCCGTCATCTTTACAATCTTAAATTTAGCATACATGAAAAAAGAGCAGTTGTTGAGTGTAGATTCAYTTAATAAAAGCTAAACTCTGCAGCCTCAGAATTATCTTTTAGGCTTTTGATTTTGTGTCTCTAATGTAAGACGCCGTTTACATCCTGTAGCGTGAACCCAATGGAATACCAAGTAACATAAGTGCAAGCCCTAACAATGAGATCACCAATGCTTAAGTAAACGGCATCTTTCAGCAGAGCAACAAAGTCGCTCAGCTAAACGTACTGATGGTGAATGGGCAATAATCAAGTACAGAAACCGGTGGAACTTGAATAGTCTGGCACCGAGGCCAGAGATTGAACACCCGATTAAGCATCGCTACTTTTACTATTGTCAACTCGTAAATCAAAGATAAACTTTGGCGTTTATAACAACTTTGATTGATGGGCAAAACCTCTGCATTATGGGTAAATTTATTACGAATATCATTATCATGCAGTAGTCGCATGCACCCAGTGAATTGATCCCACTTAAAATTAAATACATACGCGAGTAGACTTACTTTGGGTGTTCAATGATCCTGGATGGGTGACTTCCACTATTGGACTTTCATTGATCTCCTGTAAGTGCGGTGGACCAGCTGAATGGGATCCATCACCCATGCCAGTTACAGACCCAAGGGGTATATGCTCGTCCTTGAGCTGTTTATGAAGTGTTGGTGTTGCATGGAGGCGTACTTGGTGGTCAGACATGAAATGTTCCCCTGCATTGTGTTGGACAACTAGTGGTGTCTTACTGCCGTGATCAGCAGACACATGYAACAAATTACCACCCTGTATTCGTGAGGGCGTACTTGCAGTAGTTTGTTTAAAGGTGTGCTTATTTTGATCACTAGTGGTATTAGGCTTCTGCCCTTTACTCAGATAGTGTATGCCTGACGTGTCTACGAATGGCCGGTGTCCTTCCATTAAAGAACCAGATCCAATACTTCCGTTGTGAGCTGTTGGCAAATCAGGCTTGTCAACCTTTACATCTTGGATTTGATTTTGATGCCTTTCCGTAAGATGCCTCAAAGGTTTTCCAACTTCACTGATGGCATTGCCTTCAGGAACATCTACTGCTATCGGTTGATGACTCGCCGCTTTCTCGATCCTTCCTTGAGGAGGGGTTTCTTGTGAAGATTCAACATGGTTACCAATAACTGGCTTCACAGCTTGGGACGTTTTCCCCGAAGGATATTTGGATGATAGAGATATGTGATTAATTTTCAATGTCGAGTTTGGCGTATCTAATCCCAATGCGTGGTTAATATTTGAAATCAAGTGTGTGAAAGGTAACAAAAGTTTGGCCTTCATTAGTTTTGAATGAACAGCTTTGCTTTCAATGTGTGCTGAATTATGCTGGTCTTGTAGTGGTTGCTTTCCCGTGGCAGTACCGCTGGGAGAATTCATAGCATTTGGTGCTTCAATTGCTGGTTCATAATGAGCTCCTTTTGGAAGATCATAGGGATAGTTTTCTTGCGCCTCACTCTTTAATGTTTCTGGTTTTGTTTGGAAAATATTTTGCTGATGGTGGTTTTGAGGTGGTGTTTTAATTTCTTTAGAATCAGTGGGTTGATTTTCGTTTACATTCGATTCATCCTTGCTAGTTTTTGAATTACTTGGGTCTATGAAACTATCCGGTTGCTTTTCGTTTCCTGATGAAGCACTTGGGTCTATGGAACCTTCCTGTGGTTTTCCGTTTTCCGATAAGCCACTCGGTGACTTTTCGTTTTCAGATGAGCCAGTCGGTTGCTTTTCGTTACCCGACGAGCCACTTGGGTCTATAGAACCACTCTGTTGATTTTCATTTTCCGATAAGCCACTCGGTGACTTTTCGTTTTCAGATGAGCCACTTGGTTGCTTTTCGTTACCCGACGAGCCACTTGGGTCTATAGAACCCCTTTGTTGATTTTCATTTTCCGATAAGCCACTCGGTGACTTTTCGTTTTCAGATGAGCCACTCGGTTGCTTTTCGTTACCCGACGAGCCACTTGGGTCTATAGAACCACTCTGTTGATTTTCGTTTTCCGGTGAGCTACTTGGTGGCTTTTCGTTTCCTGATGACGCGCTTGGATCGATGGAACCACCCTGTTTTTTTCCGTTTTCAGATAACCCACTCTGTTGCTTTTCGTTTTCAGATGGGCCACTTGGATCTATAGAACCACTCGGTGGCTTTTGGATATCGGATGAGCCACTTTGGTCTATTGAGCCACTCGGTGGCTCTTCGTTTTCCGATGAGCCACTCGGTGGCTTTTCGTTTTCTGATGAGCCACTGTTTGGTTTTTCCTTTTCCGATGAGCCACTTGGAGGCTTTTCGTTTTCCGATGATCCACTCGTTGATTTTTCCTTTTCCGATGAGCCACCTGGAGGCTTTTCGTTTTCCGATGAGCCACTCGTTGGTTTTTCCTTTTCCGATGAGCTACTCGGAGGCCTTCCATTACCCGGTAAACCATTTGGCATACTTCCAGTCCCTGTTGAGTTAGTTTGATCTATTGTAGCACTCGATGGTGTTTCATTTCCTATCGAACTACCATTTTGATTTTCTTTACTTTTTAGACCGCCCGTTTGCTTTTGGCTTTCTGTGCTCCCTGGTGTATTTTCATTGTCTTCTGGGCCATTTGGCTCAGTTTCAATTTTTAGTTGACTATTAGGATCTTCCTTGCCTGAAGATTCTTGTCGTTGTTCTTTACCAGCTGAGGAGCCAACAGAGCCCTCTTGAGAGGATTCCACGGGTTGTTCCTTTTTTCCTGAAGAATTTTGCGGCTTTGCTTCTTCCGAAGGCCCCTGTTTCTCCTTTTGTCCTTCAGTGACTCCTATTGGCTGTCCTTTATTCTCTGACGACCCTTCCGTTTCTTTTCCATTAGTTATAGGTTTACCAGAAGGTTTTTCACTTTCTGCTGGCTTACCTGGCAGTTTTTCACTTTCTCCGGAACCTTCAGGTCGCTCTCCACTAGAGGTGGATCCCTCCGGCATCTTTTCACTTTCCTTATTTCCATCGGGTTTTTCCTTGTTCTCCTTCGATTCCGACTGGTTCTCTTTTTTAATCTCTGCCTCTTTCAGCAATGTAATCAAGGAAGGTCTTTTCAAAAGCTCGGGTTGAAATTGATTTCCCTCCTTTTCAGGGTTTTCATTATCTTGTTTATGCTGTTGTTCTTTCGTGTTATCGACAGAAGGAGGGACGTTTTGAGGATTGGAAGTTGCAACCTGTTGTGAACCTCCTCCATTCATTGGATTGGGTTTACTACTATCAGAATTTTGAGGCCCTCCCATGAATATTGTAGTGTCTGTTTGATAAACAAAAGGTCCTTTAACCTTGTATACACCAGAGGACGTATAGGGTCCTTTGACTGGCTTTCCGTCGACTGTAACAGTGGCACCATTCGACGAACCATCTTGTGGCATACCATTCTGGGGTTGATTTTGAGGCATGTTGGATAACCCACCCTGAGGACCACTAATTCCTCCTTGGCCTTGCCGCGGCAGGGAGTTCTGTGGCAAGTTCGTTATACCCCCAGCATTATTTTTTGATCCCTTGGAATCACTTTCACTCTCTTCGCCTTTTATTTCATCTGTTGGTTCTTCGGGCAACGAGGGCGTCAGTGGAACACTATCTATTTCTTTGGCTCCCAAAGGCTTTTTCTCTGGCGACTTGGTATTTTTGTCAGACAAGGTGAGTGGACTTTGTTGTGCCTCATTATCCGTTACTACTCCCATCGACGAAGGCAAACTTACTCCCTTTAATATTTTCTGTGGTTGTACAGGTTTAGGAGCATTACCAAACTGTTGTTCTGGTTTACCATTTGAGATTACAGCTACCTGTGGCATAGATGGCATCGATCCCTGTACTTGACTTTGCTGTGGGTAACCATACCCTTGATCATAGGTTTGCTCTTGAACTGAGTGAATTGGTTCTTGCTGTTGATTAAAACCATACCCTTGGTTCATGCCCTGAGGAAGTCCAACACCCATCATTGGGTTATACTGATATGGTTGATTATACTCATAGGGATAACTAGGATGACCAGCTTGGGATTGGACAACAGGAGAGTTTTGTTGTTGGGTATAACCATAGGCTGGTCTTGTTTGGTAATAAGGTAGACCAGGACTAGCATTGGAAGTAGGTTGTCTTTGATACTGATTGTTATTTTGGTCAACAAACGTAGGCCTGTTTAACCCTGGTTCTTCATTGAAATACCCTGGGTGATCACTCTCTTCAGAGTTTGTCATTGAAGTTGAGGGTATGTCGCTAATCATGTCAGGAAGCTGACTAGCCAGTGTCATTTCGTTGTCCGGACGCTCCGTGAGCTCCTTTGGCAAAGCCAACAGCTCTTTATGGTCTTGTGGCTTCCTTTCTGTAATTTTGAAGCCAGATTTTTTGGGCTCTACCGAAGCCTCCTTCTTTGGCATTCTTATTGGTTGTAAAACAGGTTCCCTTCCTTTCTCAGCATATGCCGACTCAACCGAGCCCTCTTTGTCTTCAAAGACATCTACAACAGATTGTAGACTGTTTTTCTTCCTATTTAAGAATTTTCCAGAGTCATTTTCAGGTTCTTCGCTTGTGTATTTTTTGCGGTACTCGTAGAGACCCCCTGGACCGGTGTTCATGGCATGTGTGATAGGATCATCAAATGCAGGGGAAACGGGTGGTACGACTGGTCCTCCGAGCCAATCACCTTCTGGATGCAGACGTATTGGTGGTAGAAAGCCATGAAAGCTGTTACCATGATTTAATTCGTTTTGAGGCATTTTATTGGCCTGCGGGCTATTCAAATGATTTTGATCGTAGTTTTCTGGGTATGCCTCTTGGTGATGATCATTGGCGGAGTACTGATATCCATGTAACTCATTACCACCAACATCGTGAAATTCATCATTAGCGCTAAAACTGCTGCCTTCCCCATGGAGTGAATCATCAAAGCCATCTTGATAGGGCTGAGTTGATAAATTATCTTCTCCATTAGATTGAGCTTTGCCTTTCTTTTCTTTTCCTTTCTTGCTTTTCAAATGTTCATTCCAAAGTGCGTTTACCTTCTCATGTATGTCCTTTACTATATCTTTGTGTTTTCTCTCAGGAAACGATAGAGGTGCTCCTACCATTGTGATTCTTGCTGGCCGTGCTTCTGGTTCGTCTTCCATCTTCGCATTCATAGGGTCCTCGGGTTTTCCTTGTTCTCTCGCGTTGTATCCATTCTTCAAATCCCTTCCGGGCGTCCCCTGGAATTCCTTATGCTTATTAAGCACTTTCAGTCTTGTATTGATAAACTTGGAAACCTTTGAAAGTTCATTTTCCATGTCGGGACTCAAATTCTCATCACTAGTAATCCTTAAAATATTGTCATTCGAAGGCCTTTGACTTGCATAATTCCCGGTTCCGTTATCGGACAACTTTCCCATTATCATTCCTGACATTTCTTTACCACCATCTTGTGACGTTTCTGACTTATTTCCATATCTTTTCCCAGCTGCCACATTGTTTTTAACTTGCTTGGGCTTTGGTGCAGCAGCTTTCGCAGCAGTATTTTTGTCAGAAATATTCAACTCCTCATGGATGACTGTAGTAGGGGATGATTCGGTTAACTTCGTTTCACCAGCATCTACCGTTACTGGTAGCTTCCCCATCGGAACCTGCAGCTGCGGAGAGTCCATTTGATTAGGATTTTTCTGATATTTCGAAGCTACTTTTTGAAATTTTCTCCCATTATTGGATGGCAGTTTTCGTATTCCTTTATTCCACTTCATAGGCTCTGCTACTGGTTTAATTTGCTTTGTCCCTGATTCCCTGTCATCGTAAATATTGTCATCAGCCATCCCTTTGTAGAGGTCTTGCGAAGTACCTCCCAGCCGAACATTTGGGACATCGTCAAGTCCCTCAAACTCATCCCTAAGCTTAGAAACTTCCCTATTCTCCTCGGCAAGGACACTACTAAGAGAATCATGAACATACTGCTTGATATTGTTGGCATCGTTGAGAACATTTGCTTCACTTTCAACAGAATTGAAGTCTTCGTCTTCTTCAGGAAGAAGAGACGTTTTGACTCGAACGTTTGGGTTTCCTGTGCTAGGCTTTGTGGAATTAGTTGAATTCCAATAAAGGGGCTCGCCTACCGCCTTTATTTTTGTAATTTCGAACCAATGGATATCCGCCTGAAACAGAGAGGTGTTGTTATTTAGTTAGTTGAGGACGATTGGGAAATTACAGTAATAATCTTCAATGACTATCAAACTGAGAGAAGAAGGCAATTATATGCTTATTGACTTACCCGTTTTGGAGGTCCAACGTTCTCGCTTCCTTCCGTGCTATTCGGACTAATAACCCCATCAGCATCCATCCAAACAACATAGTAACGAGAACCAAACAACTTGCCTCTCCCACATCCCGCTTTATGAGCCTTCTTCCAAACCACTTGTGTAAAATCATGCAAGGTGTTCCCATTTTTCGATTTCCCAGCTATAAAATCAAAGTCTTTTTCCTTGTCGTGCCAATGTTTAATGGCTGACTTAAAACTAGGGAGCTCATCCTTGACATCCCATTCGATTAACTGGCCGTATTTTCCACGGGCGTCCATGTCGTAACCAAATTTACCTCCACCAGCCCATTTTTGGGCCTTGTCAGCCAGCTCTTGAGAGAACTTGAGTTTAGGCGCATCGTGGTTTGCTCTGTACTCGTTTAGTACTTCTATGCATTCTATTTGGCAAGCTTTGTCGCAACCTGCGAAATACGTACGTTTTAACTGAGTAAGCAAAAGACGCTAAATGTTAGCGTATAGACAAAATTCGAAGAGTGATGTCTCCCTCTTGGAAATATGAAAATGGAATATGAAATCAACTTATGAAATACACCTTTTAATAGTCTGTTCGATGGTGCTGGGACGGCTTTCCCTGAAAATTGAAAGAACAATTTAAGGAACAACAACTACAGGCTGTGATCACTACTACTTCCATAACCACACCACAACAAAAACACCACCACAAAAACAGCAACCACAGCAAGCACACTATGAACACCACCATCACCTCTTACCTCCGCCACCACTACAACTATAAGAACAACAACCTTAACCACAGTAACACGAATATAAACAATATATCAACAAAAGCTATGTTGTTGTTAAGTTAGGCATGACAGAAATGTTTGTCTCAAATTAGAGAGATTTTTATATGATTTAAAAGCATACGCTTCCTATCTCGCAGCGTGTACACGATATAACATTTAAATGGTTTCCCGTTAGTCGATCAGCCATACGCGCATGTAGTACTCGGCCATTGTAAAAACAACTACAGCGATTCAAAAGTGTTGTATTCCTTCAAAATCTACTCGAATTCTTAATTAAGTGCTCTAGTTATCTCTCTTCAAAGCGAGAAGTTATTAATTTTTTGATGTTAGGTACTCTGAAACAGAACCCAGAATAATCAGACAAAAAAGGATCATTTGAATAGTGGCAATTCAAAACCGGTGATCAAATGCCTTCCCATAATTAAGTAAAATTGTATAAATAAAAAAAGTCGCTTTGAATATAGTATAGTAAATGAAGTATATTCAATAGTAATATTGGCATCAGTTTATAACCTTTCTTTCACTACTTCCAAAATTACATAAAAATATTTTCTACCTCAAAAAAAAGTATATATATACCATACAACAAGCTATTCTTTTCCATTCTTACCTGTTGCAGTCGATATCCATAGCACTAGAAACAAAATTCGTAAAATTATTGCACTCAAAATCATCATTGTCCTTTTCTTTTGCTTAATTTATCCATTTCCTTGATTTTCTAAATTCTAGAAGGAAAAAAAAACACAAATAAAAAACATAAATACAAACGTATTCACGAACTAAAAACGTAAACCTGTTCCAAAATAAAACATTTTGCAATTCTCAAGACTAAAAATTATTCCACAAATAAAGAAAAAAGAAAACTGGCTTACCATGAACGAAAAAACATCGTTCGAGAAAAAGTCTTCCCACAAGAAAAAGCAGTAGATTATATTTTTTTCTAATATCTTTAGATGAAAATGATATCCAATCTTTAACAAAACACCAAAGAAATTTTCTTGCGTAAAGTGACAGTTGTTTGAAGTTTTGATTTATTAATAAAGTAAAATAAAGAGACATAACACACATGAATGAACCACATGTTGAATGAGATAGTTGGGTTGAGACATGATTTCTGGTAGAACCATTAGTAGAATTCGTTAAAAATCATTCAACTTGGCTATCATTTTTTTTAATGAACTTTGGATGAAACAGAACAAAAGAGAGAATTTTTTTCGTACAACATTATGGATCATTGATTTTGATTAAGAAGAGATTTCGAATGACTGTGAAATCTTGACCGTGAAGTCATGGTGATTTCCCCCAATTAATATATACGATCACCGAAATTTAGGGTTTCAAATATAAACTTGAATATCAAATTCAGACACTTTTACATTTTTTAAGCAATTTTTTCAGTAGACGGTTTACAAGATTTATCATAAAAGAAAAGAAAAGAAAAGAAAAAACAACAGCAACAACAAATAAGAAACTAGCAAACCATAACAATCATAAATTAAAATTATATTTTGGTCACTGGGTAGTTAAAGCCCTCCCCTCCCCTCCCCCAAGACAAATAAACACGTTCTAACTAATTTGGTAACCTAGACACGAGTGAAAAACGTCTGCGCATGCTCAGAATCCGTATGCAAATTAGTCAAAACATAAGTAAATTTGACTTTCAAACATGCCTGATAAATTGGACTTCACAAAATGCCAAAACGTAGTAGTAGTGTCCATGCTAGAAACTTAAGGCTAATTCTTTCATATTGTGTTTGTTAATACAGTATCTTGGTCTAACAAAAGTATACTCTCGAACTTTTTTTGCATACTTGGAGAACAACAAACATTTATTTTCTCACTCAAACTCTTAGAAAATTCTTAGAAAACGTGCTGAAGTGCACGCATGCGCAAACGTTTTTCTCTAGTGTCGGTAACCTCGCAGTTGACGTTCATGAAGAAATGCATTATTGGATATATGACATCATAAATACATCCCATAATGATTTTGCCCAATTTAAACAGAAAAAGTAAAATTATGATACCTACATTACATAGTTTTAACTATTGTAGAATCCCACAATTTTAATTTATAAATTTAAATTTTCTATAAACTATTTTTATATGTTATATATTTCAACATATTAATAAATCAAGTTGTGATTCTTCAAGAGGCCTTATCAAACACATGCAAAAACCAATAAGCTAGCCTATCAAAAGTTTCCTTTCAAGAGCTCAGGTCAAAATTCCTGACATTACTGCAAACCATATATTTCATTTTATGGTCTTCTAAATAAATTATGTACTGCTAAACTCGTTTCATCATCAGTAATTTTTTTTACAAGAAACTGAGTTGGTTTCACCAAATTGAGATTTCTTGGATTTCCTTAATTTTTTTCTAGTAACATGCAGTTTTTCTTTTACCTCGGATATATAGTTAATTTTCGTTCAAATTAGCAGCATACTGTTGCACTATTTCTAGTTTTACTTGTTTATGGAGTAAACGAATTTTTTAAAAGACAATCAATATGCCAGTCACAAAAAGTGTCATATTTGTCGTGGTGTTTGCTGTGGTGTCGTCGATAAACGCTTCAAAAGTTGACAAAAAGTCAGGTAAATATGTTTATCTCTTTCTTCTTAATAAAAAAATGTCAAATTCTGGCACTTTTTTATTGTTAAAAATATACTCCTGTTTACTTGTTATTCTCGAGTGACTTTTCTACTTTTGTCTGAGGTCATTGTGATTTATCAAACATTATATTATAGGTAACAATAAAAGAATCACAAAAAAGCTTATTTTGGACGTGACTTTTGTGACAAACACCTTTGGTTATCATGAACTGCAATCACCCAACGAAAAAGCCATTTTTATGTAAACGCAGTTTTTAATTACACTATTAACAGCTATCCAACGAAGAAAAACAACACAGTAAAAGATCGTTTTACGAGAGGACACCGAGACAGAAATCTTTTGTTAAAAAACACCATAAATTTTTCCCATATATTCACTCGCACTGAATTTTCCCTAGTTGATTAGATTGTTATTGGATGCATTTCAGGTATATATGCGCATCACCATGAAAAGAAATGTGAAGACTACAAGGCCGTAGCCAGCAAATGTCATATGTGGAAGGATCTGGGATTCTGTTTTAAACATCGAAAAGAAATGGAATTTGTTTGCAGTAAGACATGCAAGTTTTGTGGTGAGTCAATTGATCGTGTTGGTGAAAGGCTTGTATGGGATAGCGCGCGCGTGTAGATTTTGGCCCGAAAATTCTCTTTCCAAATGCACAGGAACTCCACTGCCAGTATTTAATAGAAGGATAGAAAGAAATCTTTTAGGGCGAAGGAATTTCCTTCATACCGTTTTGCTGTAAAACAACACGACATATCTCCAATATTTCGACTTTTCTTGCATCTACCCTGAATGCAGGAGAATATCATCCTTTCTAACATCGCTGCTTGTTTCGTGGTTTGCTTGTTTTAGATCCAGGTGAGAGTCACTGGACGTACACATCCAAACCCGATGAAAACGCGGAGACCAAAACCATAATAGAGACACCAAATAAACCAAGCCCAGTGGTGGAGGTGATGGGAAAGAAAAAAGCCCTGTATCTATCAAGTAATGATATCGCAGGCATGCTGCAGACTCTCTCATCTCAAAATTATGACGTCACTGAGAAGCCGACACCGAAACCTAAAGAACTCGCTGTAATTCAAGGGAGAATTCAGAAAGTAGAGCCAGTTGTCATTAAAACGGATGCCAAAGGAGAGATGAAAATTAAGCCGACAATAAGTGTTGGAGGGAAAATGCAAACTGAACCAAAAGCTGCTGAAAAGGAAGAATCTGGCGGAAAAGATGAGGGAAAAAATGATGCAAAAGCTGAAGATAAAAAAAAGGAAGGACAGAATCGAGAGAATAGCTTTGAAAATAAACTTTTGGGGTTGATGAGTCAGGTTATTCGAGGAGGTTCTAGCGAGAGGGAAAAGAAACCCAAAGACAACGCAAGCGAAATAAAGAAAGCTGAGTGTGTCAACATACCAGAAATCATGAAAATCTTACAGAATTTGAAAGAAAAGATGAAGAAAGACAAAGAAAATCCTGTGAAAGAAAAACAGGCGACAGAACAGAAGCCACCAAATGTCGCCAGTGCAGAGCAGAAAGTAAACACAACCGGAAATCAAGTATTGACTGCTAAGAACAAAGCTCTTCTCGCAGCTATGAAACTCTTCCAAGCCATTGGTCCAGCCTCAAAGGGAAACCATTCATCGCTGATGGAACAGCTGACTGCTGCAGCTGAAGAAGCCAGCGTTGCTTTAAACCTTTTGAATAAAACCGGAGCTGTTGATAAACTTAAGGAAGCCAACGTACCCTCTAAAGTAGGAAATGTAATGTATAACGTAAAGCTGTTGCAAGAAGAGCTGAATAAAGCCAACAAAAACCATAGTAATGTGGTAACGTCAACTCCAGTCTTGGAGACAAATGCTACAGCTAATAGTACCAAAATGGCGGTTGTGAATGTGTCTTCCAGTAATCCACAGCTTAGTGAGTTTATTCTTAGACTTCAAGACAGCATCACGAATCCTCAAGGAAACGTCTCGGCTCTCTCCAGCTCTGTGAGCGAGAGGGGTGGCGTAGCGATCAGGAAAGAGGAAGGGAAACCTACTTTATCAGAGGTGAGAATAATTGAATTGCATTATGCAATAACAAATTATATTTTTGAACCGCGTCCTCGTCTTAATCATAGAATCATTCCCGCCAATTTTCTGGACATGCGCAGTACTGGTTTTCTTCAACATTTTTTCATTTGCACGTGACTTTGTTGACAATGTGAGAAAAAATGGTTCCTGCGTAGTTTTATATAGTGTTAGTATTTTTTTTCTTTTTATGATAAATGAAAAGTATTCTCGAAATCTTACTCAGTCCACAAATTTCAATTTCAGATTATTCCTTTTAACATCAAAGTTGACGATGCCGACTCAGACGCCACAGGTAACTTCAAGAGCGAAACTCCAACTGAGGGAACGACAAAACCAGATACAAAAGTGACCTACCAAAGCGATGAGCAAAAAATTATGGAAATCTTAGACGGTTTGGACCAAGATGACAAGCCAAAGACAGTTCAAGATAAAGGCAACAGTGCAAAAGATATTGTGATGCAGATTCGAGAGGCTTATGATGATCTTGGGGAGATAGTAAATGGGGCTGAAATACAAGAAGGGTTAAAGAAAAAGAAGAAGAAGGAAGATGAAGACAATGAGGAGGAAACGGAAGAAAGTAGTGAAGAAAAGAAAAAGAAAGACGAGAAAAAGGACGAGAAAAAGGATGAAAAAGAAAGCAAGGACGAAAAGGAAATGAAAAGAAAAGGTGAAGAAAAGGAAAAGAAGAAAAAGGATGGAGATGATGATGATAAGGACGACAACGACGATGATGATGCAGAGTTTTTTGACCCCAACGCTAAGCCTAAACCTAAGAAAAAGAAGCCTTTAACCAAAGAACAACACCTTGTGCTAGTGGTTTCTTTGATCAAAAAGGCAGGCCATTACCTTGAAATGATTGGTGCCAAGCGCGTCAAAATGGCGGGAAAAAGCCAGRATCCTTCAGATGAAGACGCGTCCATGCGTTCCTCACATAACAGCTATAACCAAGGAGACTGGAAAATGTTGGCAACACGGCTCGCTAGACAGCTAGGATTAGTTTTGAAAAAGATGGCGGAGAAGGACGAGAAGTACAAAGCAGAGAGAAACCGACTTCAAAGTGTCTTGGCAGCTTTGGCACAAACAGAATTATCAACGAAACACACCTATGAAGACACAAGTGAAGAAGGCGATGAAGAAGGCGACGACGATTACAACCAAGATGAAGATAGAAGCAAAATTATCCACAACATGGCGACCAAACTTCTCAATTTCAGCAAAACTATAAGTGCAGTTCAAAAGTCTAGTAGAGGAAAACCTGTTAGAAAGAAAAAGAAAGTGCTCCATAATCTCGTCTCGAGGTATCGAAGTTTAGTGTCAAAGATTTTGAGCAACTGGAAGAAGTTGAAAGGGAAGAAGAAAAGTGGTATCCCGAGACGAACGGGAAAGAGAGGAGAAATTGTGAGAGGCGCTGGAAATCATACTCTCAAGGCAGTACATGGAAAGCCAGTCGTAGCTAAAGTTAACCAAACTGAAGCAAAAGCAAAGCAGAAAACTCAAGATACACATAAAAAAGAAAAAACTACAGTAATAAAACCTACACAATCAGTGAGTTTACACGCTACAGTACAAACTAAGAAGACGAAGAAGAAAGCGGAGGAAAAGAAGGAGATAGGAAAAGAAGCAACAAAAAAGGAAACCATCACTCCTGATTCCGATGACGAGCAAGATGTGATAGAAATAGTCCACAAATAATCACAGCAGGGACTTTGGAAAATAACTTTGATAAATCTATAAAAAAATAGATAAAAAAAACCAGAGAAATTATGATTAGAGTTTATTTGTGAAAATATAAACAGTGGGCACAAATTGTTTCTATCTTGAACAGCTGATTGCAAAGTGATGAGCTTGGTGAGCTTTTGTTTTGATGTTCCACATTCTAGAATTGATTTTTAAATAATAAACAAGTTTCGATTATTCATAGATAAAAAGTAAAATTGCCCTAAAAAGCGCAATATACCGCTTAGCGTCTTATCTTATTTTTTACTTTATTTTATATTTACTCATTCTTTTCCGTCCCTTTCCCATACTTAGAGTGAATACTGGTACTCGGTTGTTTCCATCAGGCAACAGGCCTGGCACAGGCAACCCATTATAAGATTTTTGAGTCGGTTCTTATTTTTCTTTATTAACTTGTCCGATTCTTGATATTTTCTTCTCCTTTTTGAATTATAAACCTTTGCATCCATCGACAATAACACACTTAAAGGAAAAAGATAGAAATTTTTTTTTTGAAAGTTGACTTTGGAAGTTAACCGGAAGCGTCATTTAATCAATGAGCTGTTGTTCACTTACGATGACCAACTTCCGGTTCATACACTACGTGTCAGACTTCCCCGACCCTAACACGGGATTCTCAAATAACATGCTGCAGATTTACTCAAAATGCGTCCTCTAATTTATAGTATATTCCTAGCTTCTACTCTTTTTGTTTATATACCGTCGTCTAGATCAGAACCTAAAACAAATGAACATTTTGGTGCAGCAGAAGGGACAGAATCCGCGAAGGATCCAACTGTGCTGTTGTCAGTGATAGCAAGAAACGTGGCCCACTTATTGCCTAACTGGTTAGGCTACATCGAGAATTTAGATTACCCAAAAGATCGGATTTCAATATGGTAAGGCCAGTATTTTTAAAGTATCCAGTAAATTATCAACCAGCTGCTTAAATAACTAATTAGAGTAACAATTAAAGCGCTCCAAGGATTGCAGTTTCCAATTCATTTTAGCTTTTTGCACATCTCTTCTGTCACAAAAACAATAGGTTTAATAGACATCTTAAGACGACTTTGAGTTTAAAATATACAGAACTAATAGTATAACTTACAAGCTTTTTACTAGGAAATCCTCTACAGATTTACATAAAGTAAAATCTCTTTTGTTCTATTATTTCATGCTTATAGGATATTCTTCTTCTCTGTTCTAACAAGATTCATATCTGCTTACGTGTCCTATCATTCCAGGCATTCCAAGCGTCTGTCAACAATTTCCTTCAAAGAAATGATGTTTTTCTCGAACAATGATGCACAGTTTTTACAAAATGCTGAAGTTTTTGATTTCCTTGTGTTACTAAATTTTACATTCATAAATTGATGATTCTGATAATTTATTTAGAAAATAGATATTATTAAAGTCTTCAAAGGCTTGCTACTTAGACCAGGTCTTCCTGGGCCCATCCACTGAAACTAATAGTCCCTTACACAGTTCCCTGCACCATCTTGAAAGGTGGCGCAGGGAACTGTGAAGGGGACTATAGTGTCGACTGTTAAGGAGACTCCATATTAGTTGTCAGTAATATTTTTCTTTCTTGTCCAGGATTGCTACAGACCATAATGTGGACAACACGTCAGGGATTCTTAAAGAATGGGCTAATAATGTCGCACCACTGTATCATAGAGTCCTTATAAATGCAACAGATTCACCAACCATGTATAGTGATGCATCCTTTGTATCAGAATGGTCTGAATTGAGATACCAACAAGTGGCATCCCTTAGACAACAGGCATTAGATGCTGCAAGAGAACAGTGGGCAGATTATTTATTTGTGAGTTTTAGTTTTCTCATTCTTGTCTTAGGAATTAATAATAGACTGATCAAGAAGTTCTAAGGGAAGTCCTCCATAATTATTGCACCATCACATGCCCACAACCATTATACAGCTTGGGCTGCCTGTGGTTAGATGGCAGAACAATGAGTTTGCTAGAAGGTCATGAGATAATGATAAAGTAAATTTGTTATTATTTTTACTCGTAGGTTGTTGACTGTGATAACTTTTTGTTCAACGCAAGTGTGCTGAGGGACTTGATGGCAGAGAAAAAGTAAGAATGACACAATGTATTAAATAATAATAATGATGTCTAACTTAGCGCAATATATAATAATAAAATATGATAAAATATCTAGTAATTTTCTCCTGACCTTATGTCATTTTTCAGTGTAACCTTTTTAGCCATCTACGAATATTTCAATTTGTATAATGGTCATAATTCCAAATAAGATTGACATTGTGGAGCTTGTATTTTTAAATTATGTAATATATAGTATAATTACTCTCTAGTTTTATATGTTTTGACGTTGTTAAGAAAAATGATATTTCTTTGAAAAACTGAAATAATATTTTTTCCCCAGGACTGTGGTAGCACCATTAATACCAGTGTTCCAGAACCAGTCAGCATATTCAAACTTCTGGGGAGGAATGGATGAAGATGTAAGTTATAATATCAACTGCTTAATATATAGTTGTTAGTATAAACCTACTAATGGTCTATCACAAATCCTGTGCTATGATTGGCTGAGCTACTAGTGGTTTATTAGTGATAGACAAATAGTAGCAAAAAGTAGCCAGTTTTGAGAACCAAAACTCCTCAGACCCTCCCCACCCCTTGGAAATTCCAATCCCCCTTAATGCTGGAGGTATGGATATTATCTGGAACTACACAATATACCCTGCTCAGACCCTCCCAACCCCTTGGAAATTCCAATCCCCTCCATGGGGGAGGTATGGATATTATCTGGAACTACACAATATACCCTTCTCGGACCCTCCCCACCCCTTGGAAATTCCAATCCCCTCCATGGGGGAGGTATGGATATTATCTGGAACTACACACTATATACCCTGCTCAGACCCTCCTCACCCCTTGGAAAAATTCCCTTTGAAATTCTAATCCCCTTATTTGGGAAGTGCAGAGGCACTTTTTTAAAAAAAAGAAAATATTTACATAAAATGATGTATTTTTTTAGGGATATTATAAAAGAACCGATGAATACTTTCCAGTTCTCTATCGAGAAATACGAGGATGTTTTGACTTTCCAATGATCCATTCAACATACCTTGTCGACTTGCGCCAGAGGGTGTCGTCAAACTTGACCTACTATCCCCCACCCCCTAAGTACAAGGGAGAAGTAGATGACATCTTGATTTTTGCTTACTCAGCGAGAACTGCAGGTGTGGAAATAATAACAGCTTTCTTCTATGATGTAATGTATTTTTTAAGCCCAAAATAACACAGGGTTCCCAGTAGTTTACCTGCATCCGAACACATACTGTTGGTTAGGCTCATCTGTGAACCAGTGACAGAATTCTTGTTCTAGACCCCTACCAATGTAGCTAAATATACACCTACTTGCAAGAATGTTGTCATATGATATTAGAACATTAGTAATTTAGTGAGAAAGGAATACATTAAAAGACAAAAGAAAAAGTTCAGCTTCTGTGATCTTCTTTTGTTTTTTGATATAATTCCTATCCCATTAAATCATTAATGTTCTTTTTTCGTATGACAACGTTATTGCAAGAAGGTGTATATACTAATTTGTGATTGGTTAATCCTTACTTGCATTCTTATGTGTCCTCTCATTGGCTGCTTAGCATTACCCAAACCTGTCAGTGACTGATGTTTTTAATCTTCATTAGGAATCAAGTTGCACCTTATTAATAGAGATTTTTATGGTTACATGGTACCACCTATTCATACTACGGAAAACCTTCCAGAAATCCAGATTCTTTTCACTGACCTCAAACTCGAGTATTTAGGTAAGTTAAATGACAAGAAAATGATCATTAAGTCAGTCAGTCAGTCAGTCAGTCAATCTGTTAATCTGCCAGTTGTTTGGAAGATTGGTCACCCACTTATTCAATCAGTCACTCAATCGGCTGATCAAATATTGGGTAGTTCATAGTTGTTCAGTCTCTCGGTCTATCAACCAGTTTGTCACTCAGTCACTCAGTCACTCAGTCTCTCGGTCTATCAACCAGTTTGTCGATCAGTCACTCAGCCAGTCAGCCAGTCAGCCAGT